ATGTTACTTGGTATCGAGTAATCAAGTTTTAATGATACTCTGTACATTGTGAGTGGAAATCACTCACGCGTTGGCCCTCTCATTTTTTTATTTTTAGGTTTTTACATCAAATATGGTAGGTTCCTTTCGACCGAAAAACGAGAAATGAAGCCGAAAGCGAAAATCGAAACCGGAGATCTTTTTCGCGTCAAGGGTACATATTAGAAATCACTGGGGGAAAGGTACTTATTGCGCTCAATGTTACTTGGTATCGAGTAATCAAGTTTTAATGATACTCTGTATATTGTGAGTGGTGAAAGGGTCCAAGGAATAGTTCTGTTAGGCAGACGTGGAATGCGGATTTTTGAGTAATCACTCACGCGTTGGCCCACACTTTTCTTTATTTTTAGGTATTAACATCAAAAGATAGGTTCCTTTCGACCGAAAAACGAGAAACGAAGCCGAGAATCGAATCCGAAAACGAGAACCAAAGCCGAAAGCTAAAATCGAAGCCGGAAGGCACTTTCGCGTCAAGGGTACATATCAGAAATTACTAGGGTAAAGGTACTTATTGCGCTCAATGTTACTTGGTATCGAGTAATCAAGTTTTAATGATACTCTGTACACTGTGAGTGGAAATCACTCACGCGTTGGCCCACTCTTTTTTTTATTTTTAGGTTTTTACATCAAAAATGGTAGGTTCCTTTCGACCGAAAAACGAAAAACGAAGCCGAGAAGCGAAGCCGAAAGCGAAAATGAAAGCCGGAGAACTCTTTCGCGTCAAGGGTACATATTAGAAATCACTGGGGGAAAGGTACTTATTGCGCTCAATGTTACTTGGTATCGAGTAATCAAGTTTTAATGATACTCTGTATATTGTGAGTGGTGAAAGGGTCCAAGGAATAGTTCTGTTAGGCAGACGTGGAATGCGGATTTTTGAGTAATCACTCACGCGTTGGCCCACACTTTTCTTTATTTTTAGGTATTAACATCAAAGGTAGGTTCCTTTCGACCGAAAAACGAGAATCGAAGCCGAGAAGCGAAGCCGAAAGCGAAAATCGAAGCCGGAGATCTCTTTCGCGTCAAAAGATCCATACTTTTTGGGGAAAAAGGTACTTATTGCGCTCAATGTTACTTGGTGTCGAGTAATCAAGTTTTAATGATACTCTGTACATTGTGAGTGGAAATCACTCACGCGTTGGCCCTTTCTTTCCCTTTATTTTTAGGTATTAAAATCAAAGGTAGGTTCCTTTCGACTGAAAAAACGAGGCCGAAGCCGAGAAACGAAGCCGAAAGCGAAAATCGAAGCCGGATAACTCTTTCGCGTCAAGGGTCCATAACAGATATTACTAGGGAAAAAGGTACTTATTGCGCTCAATGTTACTTGGTATCGAGTAATCAAGTTTTAATGATACTCTGTACACTGTGAGTGGAAATCACTCACGCGTTGGCCCACACTTTTCTTTATTTTAGGTATTAACATCGAAAGATAGGTTTGTTTCTTTCGACCGAAAAACGAGAAACTAAGCCGTGAAGCGAAGCCGAAAGCGAAAATCGAAGCCGGGAACTCTTTCGCGTCAAGGTCCATATCAGATATTACTGGGGAAAGGTACTTATTGCTCTCAATGGCTAAATAAAATTTCGAAGAAAAGCATATGAAGTAATTAAATTAATGTTGTTGATAATTTCTTAATGAAACTAGCTAATTATAGATAAATATTTATTACTTAAGCAATACATTTTTAAATCTTACTCGGAAATGAAAATTCCATTTGTAATTCTCCCGATATAACCGCATTTTGTAATTGCTCTTGATATAATAGTTCTTCTTGACATTGTTCTTACATTTCTTCTTTATGTAATAGTTCTTCCCGTCACTCGCCTTCTAACCTTTCTGTTTCTTGACGTTGTCGCTCTTGTAATTGTTCTCGAAGTAGTCGTTGTTGTAATTGTTCTTGATGAAACCATTCTTGAATTTCTAGCTGTTCTTGTAATTCTTCTTGATGTAGTCGTTCTTGTATTGGCTGTTCTTGTGATTTTTCTTGTTCTTGTTCTTGGATTTCGTCTTGACGTAGACGTCCTTAAAATTCTACTTCCTGATGAGACTATTCTTGTAACTCTTCTTGATGCCACCATTCTTCTTGACGCAGTTGCTCGACGTTATTATTCTTTTTAGTCAAATTATTTATTTCCAATTGTAGTTTGGTTTCTTTTTTTTGTTTTTTGTATTAATTTTGTAGCTTAAGCTTCTTACCCAAACTGTGTTTCTATAATTTCATTCATTTATTTATCTTTTTTTATTTTCTTAAAACAAAGCTTCGGTTTCTTTGATCACTTATAAAATTCGATGGAAACTTTTTTTTTTTATTGTTTATTGCATGAAAAAAAATTGGGTTATAAAACAGTTTTCTGTGAAAAAAGTTTTCCAAAATGTAACGTGAAACGGCATTTCTTTGGACGAATGATTCATAAATTACAAAAGCTTTACGAGACCAAATTTAGTAATTTTTCGTCTGGTATTTGTACACTTTTAACCCCTAACCAGTATTTGGCATTTCACCAAAAGTTCAAATTTTTACTATTCGCAACGCAAAAATTTTTAAAATCTACCTTTTAGCACCATAAGAGCACGTTATAGTACTATCGTTGCTATTTCTATATTTTTTAGTTGGTCCCGATGTTAATTTTTTCGGTTACTAACCGATTCTTTGTTTTTAATATTTATTAAATGAAATTTGATAATATTGTCATTAATATAATTATAACTAAATGAAAATTTATGTTACTGATACATTAAAATACTAAAAATAAATAATCTTTCACATGAAAAATTTATACTTTTTTTTTCTCTAGTTTTAAAAATGGGAAGATATAATATAAATAAATAGAACTAATCCTTATGACTATTTATTTACATCTAATTAATTACTAGGGCATTTCATTAAATTTCGTAGATATAAGAAGGTTGCTAATAAAAATCATCAATCAAGCTTATTTTTAACAAATTATTTTTAAACATATATTTATATCGTTTGTGAACTATCAACCAAAATAAAGTGTCTGCGAGGTGGAAAGTTAAAAAATATCGTACATAAATATCACATGATCATTTAATATACGGTATTTATGAAAATCAAAATTCCTTGGTGATTTGTTCTAAATATTACATAATAATTTTGTAAATAATCATTAGTCAATAAATTCAAATATTAATAAATGTTATCATTAATATCCAATTCTAATTCTTTAGATACATAGCGATAACCTAAAAGAAAGTTGTTTAAGAATTAGATTGTATTTTATAAGTAATATTAAAGATAATGAGAATATTTACCACTTTGTTCGTTTTTAATCCTTTTATTACTTTTGTTATCTTCAGTCAAATTATTTATGAGCCTTTTTTTATCTGTTTTAAAAAAAAAAAAAGGATTATGAATTACAATAATAAAAAATTACTAATGAACGTATTAAAAAATTACCAGATTGACTCTTGGATAACATGTCGCTTAAAGGCCTACTTGTATAGATTGCTTCTGAATCGCTTGTAATAGGTCCAATGTTTGATGATTTTACAATTTTGGTTGGATTCTTTTCTTCATTTGAAATGATTTTACCAAGAATTTCATAAATTTCATTGGTAGTTGGCCTCTCATTTGGTTCGGTATTCCAACACTTTTGCATCAGCTCAATATAACCCTCAGGCGCATTTGTGAGAATTGGGGGACGATAATTTGCACAGATTCTAACGATTAGGGACGCGTTATGATTTTTGTCCCAAAAAGGTCTCCTTCCCGTCATTAATTCCCACATAATCATGGCAAAACTATACATGTCTGAGGCTGCCGTATATCGTTTGCTTTGAAGTATCTCTGGTGCAACGTAAGGAACAACTCCATAGATCTCACCATCATCGATCGATTCAATGGCGGACTTACTCAATCCTAGATCACATATCACTGAGAACCATCCGAAATCATAAAGGATATTTCCACTATGAAAATCTCGATGAATGATTTTTAAACTGTGAATATGGTCTAAACCTTGTATTATGTGTTTCAACATATTCAACTTTTTGTACCAATCCATCTTGTAAAAGTTTTCTTTTATATAATGCCTCAAATCACCTGATTTGTAATAATCCATGATGATCATAAAATCCTTTGTAATAGGATGTTTGGTGATTCCGTAATAATTGACGATGTGATGACGAATTTCCTTACTTCTCTTTAAACTTATCGATAAATCATAAAATATCTTTAGCTGTGATTGTAAAAGACGCTCATGTTAATTAAAGCTCTTTGATGTATTATAAACATAATCAATTACCTCATTTAGCATCTCTGAGGTGATATTCTCGGTGCCATCCAAATTTTTAAGAGCAACTTGTTTGACACCTTCACGTTTAAAGACCTTTTGATGTTTATCCCAAAATCTGACTGGGCCATCAATCCAGGTAGCTTCATATACTTTGCCAAATCCCCCTGAGGCGATAAAATTTATATTTTCAAACCTGTCGTAGGGAACAAACTCCATGCTCCCAATATGTTTATGATGATTGATTTGTGTAAACCTTATAAATTCATCAATAACTTTACTTCCGCTTGGTTTATATAATATCCTTGCTTTATAACAAACCTTGCAAAATTGAAGGATTGAAGGTTTTCTTTTATTACATTCGATACATTTTACGATTGTTGACATGATTTTAATTTCTGGTTGAAATCGCTCCATTTTTTCTTGTTATTTTTGTCGAGAATGCTCCATTGCTCCTTATATATATATATATATATATATATATATATATTTCAATAGAGTTCTGAAATAAGATCATTTTTTTTGGTGTTTTCAACATTGAAAAATTACTGAAATAGAGAATGGCATGACCTGATTTATGAAAGCTCATTATCTTCTTTTTAATGGGGTCTCATTCTTGATTTCCCTAATTAGTTGTAAAATAAACTCGTATGATAAAGAATTTTTAGGGTAACTAGCTTTCGATTTATAATGAAAAGTTCTGGAAAGTTCGAAATTAACCCCTATCTCGGAATTTGGTCACACTATGTTTACCTACATTTCTGATCTCCTAATTTGGTTCTAACATAAAAATAATAAAATAAAATATAAATGTCTTATTATTCCTTCAAGAAATTTTTATCCTCCGAGCGCAAAATCCTATTCCTTTTTGTTGGCTATGTCGTAAAATATTCTGCAATCTAATGGCGATGTCAACCGTCTCTTTTGTCGAGGGGTACTCCTTATGCTTTCCCTTTTTTGGAGAAGACAAGCCTCTCTTTGGTTATAGGAATGTCAAAATACTAGGTCTTATTTAGTTTTACTGACTTTATTAACTCTCTTTTTAGTGAAAAGTTTCTCGTATGACGAACTATACCAGAATTAATGCGAGAGGGATTTGAAATAATTAATCTTTCAATGAAGAAACTGAACCAAGTCACGCGAAAATTCGCGATCATTTAAATTTAATAAATTAAATTCATATTGAATTTTTTTAAATAAATCCTACAACATTGAAAAATCGGAAATTCGTATGATGTTTCAGTTATTGCCTTCGAAGTTTCGGAAATTTGTAACATATAGTACATTAAACACACATGATGTAGGTAATGTTATTACACAGATTATTTATTAGGTATCACAATTAAAAAAGTCAAGGTCGTACAGTATTATTACATTACGTAAAATTCGATAATTGTTTTTATTTTGTGTCGAGTGCAATTTAAACTTGAACGCGTCGTGTTTTTGTTATTATTATTTTTTTTTTTTTTTAAAAAAAAAAAAGGGATGTATAATTAATTACATATAATTACAGTTGTTAATGTGATTTTGGTGTTTTAAAAAGTCAATAAAGAATAAAAATAATAAAATAAATGGTATTCTAAAATCATTTAAATGTTCTGTGATGATAACGAAAATAATGATAAAAAATGCGTTAATTAAAACTCTAAATATTCATTATAGATATTAGATTGCTGACCATTCAAGAATTCATCGTAAGCGGATTGTAATACTCCCATCCAAGAATTTGGAAGAATTTTAGTTTTCCAATTGTTATGCCAATGATAAGTAAATGCGCCGGGGAAAAATCCATCAACCTTACGTAGTGCAGGCGTGGCATCCATCGGCTCAACATTTATAAATTCATTTGGGGCCAAGTCAGGCCTAAATACATCGTACCATACATTGATATTCGGTGTTAAAATTGATTTTGGTTGTTTATGATTCCACTTTAACCATAAAAGATCGAATAACGCAACCGGAAGCATAAAAAGGTAAGGATTTGGTTGGGTTTAATTTCTCGACAAAATACTTCTTGATGTCGAAAGGATGAAATTTCATATGATTTTGAATTGTACCTTCAATTACCATCCTAGTGGTTGTACTATTTGCACGAAGTCGTAATACAGCGGTGTTATAATCTTCCTTGAAACTCCATTGATAGGCATCCACATAAATTCCTCCATATCGTTGAAGGACAACGAAACGTACCATATCACTGAATGATACAGTCCTTTGTTTTGAATTATAAATGGATTTCCATCCATGGTATATCGGATCTTGATCAAGTTGTTCTTCGGTATCCCATTTCATAAATTCAATAAATTTTGGTGAAAATTTAAGTAAAGGCTTTGCGTGTGGATTGTCTTCCAATCTCATCTCATTATCGTCTAACCAAACGTATAACTACATTACATTTTAATAATGGTAGATTACAAAAGAGCTACAAATTCGATCTTTTTCCTATAATACTAATATTTTACCACCTACAATTAGTTCTAAACCTTTCTTTAAAAAGACAAGAGGAATTATATAAAGAAATTGCCCTATGTATATTTACTCTTTCGTGATATTACTTGTCCCAAACCCGAACTTCAAAATGAATAGAAATTAAATTTTCACATAATAAACCAGTTCTTTACATAATAACTATAATCTTACATTTTTATATATAGAACATCGTTATAAATAAAATATTCAATTTCATTGATTTAAAAAGTGATGCTTCGAAATTGCTATTTTTTATTATTTTTCTTCTAAACTTTATAAGGTCATAACTCTTATATATTTAGTAATACAAATAAAATAAAGGTGTTAAACGGAAAGTAAATGTTCTTGAAAGGTTGCTTGTAAAATTTTTATTATAGGTCGTAAAGAAAATCATGCAAAAACTTTTTCTCGAAATCACGTGATCCGAGCCCCCTTGAAGGGAATCATCTCTGTGGCTTTTCCTTTGAAGGAATCACTTCCGGAGGCGTTACCTTTGAAGGAAATCGCTTCCAGAGGCATTTCTTTGAAGGAAAATGCCTCCGAGACGATTTTCCAAAGATTAACGCTTCCGGAGGCGTTTCCCTTGAACCGAGGCGTTTCTTTGAAGGAAAACGCCTGATTTGAAATAATTAATCTTTCAATGAAGAAACTGAACCAAGTCACGTGAAGATTCGCGATCATTTAAATAAATTAAATTCATATTGAATTTTTTTAAATAAATCCTACAGCATTAAAAATCAGAAATTCGTATGATGTTTCAGTTATTGCCTTCGAAGTTTCGGAAATTTGTAACATATAGTACACAGATTATTTATTAGGTATCACAATTAAAAAGTCAAGGTCGTACAGTATTATTACATTACGTAAAATTCGATAATTGTTTTTATTTTGTGTCGAGTGCAATTTAAACTTGAACGCGTCGTGTTTTTGTTATTATTATTTTTTTTTTTTTTTAAAAAAAAAAAAGGGATGTATAATTAATTACATATAATTACAGTTGTTAATGTGATTTTGGTGTTTTAAAAAGTCAATAAAGAATAAAAATAATAAAATAAATGGTATTCTAAAATCATTTAAATGTTCTGTGATGATAACGAAAATAATGATAAAAAATGCGTTAATTAAAACTCTAAATATTCATTATAGATATTAGATTGCTGACCATTCAAGAATTCATCGTAAGCGGATTGTAATACTCCCATCCAAGAATTTGGAAGAATTTTAGTTTTCCAATTGTTATGCCAATGATAAGTAAATGCGCCGGGGAAAAATCCATCAACCTTACGTAGTGCAGGCGTGGCATCCATCGGCTCAACATTTATAAATTCATTTGGGGCCAAGTCAGGCCTAAATACATCGTACCATACATTGATATTCGGTGTTAAAATTGATTTTGGTTGTTTATGATTCCACTTTAACCATAAAAGATCGAATAACGCAACCGGAAGCATAAAAAGGTAAGGATTTGGTTGGGTTTAATTTCTCGACAAAATACTTCTTGATGTCGAAAGGATGAAATTTCATATGATTTTGAATTGTACCTTCAATTACCATCCTAGTGGTTGTACTATTTGCACGAAGTCGTAATACAGCGGTGTTATAATCTTCCTTGAAACTCCATTGATAGGCATCCACATAAATTCCTCCATATCGTTGAAGGACAACGAAACGTACCATATCACTGAATGATACAGTCCTTTGTTTTGAATTATAAATGGATTTCCATCCATGGTATATCGGATCTTGATCAAGTTGTTCTTCGGTATCCCATTTCATAAATTCAATAAATTTTGGTGAAAATTTAAGTAAAGGCTTTGCGTGTGGATTGTCTTCCAATCTCATCTCATTATCGTCTAACCAAACGTATAACTTTGAACATTGTAAAGGTTGTGTGAACATAAAAGATTTGATCATCATTGCAATCTTGTCACTAAAATCCCCTTTCCAAAATACATGGAAAAGGGTCGGAGGTTGATCAGGCAAGCACTTTGACGCGTCATTTAAAGTTAAATTCGGATTAGGAATGGTATATTCTGATTCATGTTTATCAAGATATTCCAAACATTGTTCGGCGAGAAATTTGCTCATATCGCAATGATCTACCACTCGTGTATAATCAATTATATGACCTTCTTTTGGTCTTGTTCGAAAGGTCTGTATATTGTTTGACAAGTTTTTAGCGATTCCTTCTCCATCATTCTTTAAATCTATTTCTATTTTAATACTTGTTAACGTTGGTAAACTTTTATTTTGACTGAATAATTGTATGGATGCGATATAAAACAAGTCACATGCAATAATAAATGCTGCTATGTAACGAACAAGTTTATTATTTATTAACTGTTGCATTATCAATAAAGAAAAAATGGTTCAGGATTGATTATTTTTTTTATATGTATTAAAAAGTTGAGAGTTTTGGATTTTGGGATTCTGATCTTACTAGGCACTTTCTTTTATATATTTTTTTTTACGTTGTGTAAAATGGAAACTTCTACTCATGATCTAAGTGATCTAAGCCAAATATGCCGAAAAATAATAATGAAAACAATTTTCTTTTTTCATTCAAAACACCGCGAATTTTTTTTTTCTTTTTTTTTTTAATAAAACTATTATCGAATGACGCATTAAGATAAATCCTAAACGATATGCAGGATGTAAATAGCACAACCTCAATTATAAATACGAAAATTTTATCCTTTTAAGAAAATATTTTGTTAATAGGCGTAAAATAAGGAAGAAAAAAAAAAACGTATTTTGATTAACAAATATCATTAATTTAATTAATTTCATATTCGAGAGATCAGACCAATTTAAGTAATCAAAAAGCAATTAAAGGACACATCTATATTTTATAATAACATACATACAAAGCTATGTAAAATTTAAATAATTAACGATTCTTAAAATGAATTATGACTTGTTTTATTATCATTGAAATTATGAAAAAAGACCCACACGGGTCTTTGAACCTTAATTTAGAACTAACCTCGTTGGTATGTATTTTGGTGTAGTGTAACAGGGCTGAGTTGAAACGGAATTGCCATTGTACTGCGCCATCATATTGTTCCAAGAAAAGATAATCTTAATCACCAAGTTAATCTTTTTTTTTAACCACAAAATTAAAGATTTCATGTTTCAGCCAAGAAGATATCTCGATAGTTTTTTTAATTAAAATATTGACAAGGATGAACAACCAAGAGATCATAAAATATCAACCACATGATTGTCTTTTTTTTAATGATGTCAATGCACGATATATTTAGAGATCCTTATTGTAGTAATAAAAATTTATTACTTAATTTAATTCGCTCTTGCATATGCCTATATCAGGTTAGTTCCCATTAAGCAATTATTAAACAATACAGGATATTGTTGTCCAATAAAGTTTATTCGCAAAATATAAAGACAAAAAGAAAAAAAAAAAAAGAATGATTCGATAATAAAATCTTCTGAAAATAGTACATTCTTTGCTGATACATGAACTGTTTGATCATCGGACATTTTTTACCAATATGTCATTTTTCTAAACATTTGTGTGGCGTGCATAAAAATCATCCTCAATCCAGGGTTTACTGATAATTTAAGGTAAAGTAAATTATAAAGTTTGTACCCATGAAAATGCGTGCTAATGAAGAATTTGTACTCTGTACAAAAAAGTCTGCTACATATGCACATTCGGAATAATATAGATTTTATGAGCGTTTTTATAATACAAAGCTTCATGGTTTTTTTTTATTTTTGGTTGATTCTAGTGATCGGTCGCCCGAATACAAAGTTTCATGGTTTAACATTTACTTTTCTAGTAATGTTAAAATTTTAAATGTAATGTATTTGTTTACGCCTATGTAACTGAATTTTCATTCTAAATTTCCGAGAAAATATTTTTTTAAATAATTAATCGCTTTTTATGCAACAATTTTGCAAACATAAAATAAAATAAAAATACAAAAGGTATCTTAACTGATTACATGCAAAATTAATTTCATTTAATTATTTCGAATCTGGGATATATTTGGGCGTTGCATTTAAACGACTATTTTTATTATATGCCTTTAGACTTTCATCACTCACCCCTTTCCGATTAATATTTCAATTCCTATACAAACACCCTGTAGTTCATTCCAGAGGTATTCTATACGTTTTGGAAGGAAAAATAGTTTGTAAAGTCAAGTAAATAATCTTTCTAGGTGAACTGAATAATTGAATATATGGGAAGTAAGCTATTAAAATCACGAATCATATTATTACTATGTTCGTAAATAGCAAATCTCCCATATATGGCTTAAAATAAAGTTTTCTCACAGCAAAAATAAATGTAATTTATAATTCTCTTAGATTATATAGTCGTTTTAGTTGGTCTTTACATAAATACAAGAAATTAATTTTTTTATATATATAAAAAAAATCGTAATTTAAATTATTATGATTTATTACAGTGAAAAGCTGTTATTAATTGCTTTGATTTTAAGGACAATAATAGTTTTACTAAGTTAAGTAATATCAAATACTAAGAAAAGATTACGAAATAAATAAAAAAAAAATTATATCAGGTCGGGTCGGGTATCCCGTCTTGAAGCTTCAGGTCAGATCGGGTACTTGGATCAGGTTACATTTATTACGGGTTAAATTATTTTATTAATTATCAAAATTTAATCTTTTATAATAAAACATTTAAGTCAGATATCAACCCACAATAAATCACCGGAAATTGAACTGTGATTTTATAAATATTTTATAAATAAAATAAAATAAAATAAAATATTATTCAATTTATTATTTAATTTAAGCTTAGAAATTTAAATGTCAATATTATTTATGCCCACCTTTAACTTTTATAATATGCTTAGGCATACTTAAAATTAAATAATGTAATAATTCTATATTTATATTTGCTCATTCTTCTTGAGCATAATGGACATTTAACTTATCTGCGATTTTATTGGTTGAATTTTGTGATGATCATTTTTGAAATATCACATAATTATTAATTTAAATCAAAAATATAAAAATATCAAAATATATCTATATTTTTTATAATAATCATAAAAATTAGAAAAAGTAGAAAATTAAAAAAGAATTTGCAATATTAAATTAAAAAATAAATAAACTACTATCTAATAATATTTGTAATTAATATCAAATATTTAAATATTTAAATTAAGAAGAAAGTATAAAATTTATGTGATCATGCTTTCATGATAAATGTATTTTAAAATAAAATAATAATTGTAAAGAATTCTATAAAATAGGTATTATTTTTAAAGTAAAATTCTATATACAGTCAACTCTTGATATAGCGAACTCTTGATATAACGAATTTTTTGAATAAATATAATAAAAATACTCTTGTTATAGCAAATTGGCTAATAAAATCTCTTAAAATCTTCACTATAGCCTATAGTAAAGTTGAGATCTAAGACATAGGATTCGTTATAACAAGAGTTGATTGTATAATTAATTAATTAAAAAAATAGCTTACTATCTAAATTATTCAATAAAAATTCTAATTAAACATTAAATTATAATAAAATATATAATAAAATATAAATAATAATAAAAAAATAACTTACTAACTATAAATTAATTTATATTAAAATATTTGTTAAAATTAAGTTTAAATTATTTAATAAAATAATATATTATTATCTTATTTAAATAATTTAATATAAATAATTAATAAAATAATTTACCATCAATATCATCTAAATTATCAAATATATTAAATTAATTTAAATTTATTAAAATATAATCAAATATAAAAATAAAGTAATTCATTATTTAAAATTATTAAATATATATTAGTTATTATTAAAAATATAAATAATAAAAAATAAATATATCTTACTATATAATAATATTAATTATTATATATTATAAAAATAAATTATTTTCTAGATATTAAAATTTATAATTATAAAATTTAAAAATAAAAATAATAATTAAATATTTTTTATAATATTAATTAAATTTAAATTATATTAAAAATATATTGAATATTAAATAATCAAATAAATTAACTTACTATTTAAATTATTAAATATTATTTAAAATAAAAAATTTAAATTTAAATAATAATAAAATTATATTTAAATATAAATAACTTACAAACTAAATTATTAAATAAAAGATAAAGTTAAACTTAATTATAATAGAAATAGTAATTAAATAAAATAATTGAAAAAATAACTTTTAATTATAAATAAAAATATAATTAAATATATAATATAAATACTTATTATTAAAAATAATTTACCAACTATATATTTTTAATTAACAAATATTTTAAATTTAAATTTAAATTATAATAAAAAATATATATATTTAATATAAATAATAAATATAAATTACTTACTTTCTATTTTTTAATAAAAAATTTAAATAAATAATATAAATTATAAATAAATATAAATTACTAATAAAATAATTTACCATCTAAAATTATTAAATTATTTTTAATAATAAAATTAATAAATTTAAATTATAATAAAAAGTAAAACGAAATATAAAAATATTAATTAAAAATTAAAATAAATTATAATAAATATAAAAATAATTTACCATCTAAATTAATTAAATAATACATTTAATTAAGTTAATTTATGATAAATATTATAATTAAATATAAATAATTAAAAATTATTTACAATCTAAATTATTAAATATTTTTTAATTAAAAACTTATTAAATTAATATATTAAATATAAATAATTATTAAAATAACTTACCATCTAAATTATAATTGTTTAACTCATTATCTACTTATAAGAAAATATTTTAACATTAGTAAAAGATATATTAAGAGTATAAATTGAATTTTAAGAAACAGTTTATTAAAAAATAAAATTTATTAATTTTTAATAATTTAATATAAATAATTAATAAAACAATTTACCATCTAAATTAATTAATTATTTTTAATAATAAATTTGATTAAATTAATTTATAACAAATATTATAATTAAATAAAAATAATTAAAAATATTGCTTACAATCTAAATTATTAAATTTTTTTTAATATAAAAACTTATTAATTAATATATTAATATAAATAATTAATAAAAATAATTTACCATCTAAATTATAAGTATTTAGTTCATGCCTAAGATCATCTATTTATAAGAAATAGTTTAATATTAGTAAAAGTTATATAAAGAATATAAATTAAATTGTTAAGATATCATTTATTAAAATACAAAATTTATTAATTTAAAAATTTAATATAAATATTTAATAAAAATAACTTACCATCTAAATTATAATTATTTAGCTGATGTCTAATATCATCTGCTTATAAGAAGTAGTTTAATATTAGTAGAAGTTATATTAAAAATGTAAATTGAATTGTTAAAAGACCGTTTATTAAAAAATAAAATTTATTAATTTTAATATATTTAATATAAATAATTAATTAAATAACTTACCATCTAAATTATAATTGTTTAACTCATGTCTAATATCATCTGCTTATAAATAGTTTAACATTAATAGAAGTTGTATCAAAAATATAAATTAAATTATTAAGAAACTGTTTATTAAAAAATAAAATTTAATAATTAAATAATAAAAATAATTACCATCTAAATTAATTAATTTTTTAATTTAAATATTTATTAAATTAATATAAAAAAATATAAATATTAATAAAAATAACTTACTATCTAAATTATTAAATATTTATTAAAAACAAAAATTATTAATTTTTAATAATTAAATTTACAATCTAAATTAATAAAATATTTTTAAATAATAAATTTAATTAAGTTAATTTATAATAAATATTATAATTAAATATAAATAATTAATAATAATTACTTACAATTTAAATTATTAAATTTATTAATTTAAAAACTTATTAGATTAATTTATTAAATATAATAATTAAATAAAAATAACTTATTATCTAAATTATTAAATTATTTAAAAACAAATTTATTAATTTATAATAATTAAATATAAATATTTAATAAATTATTTACCATCAAAATTATTATTTAAATTATTAAATATTTATATAATTGTTATTTAAATAATGATAAATAATCTATTAAAATATATATATTTAATAAGAAAAAATAACTTACTCTCTATAATTTTAATTATATTAAATAATTAAAATTGTTTATAAATAAATTAATAAAATATTATTACAATCTAAAATTAAATATTAAAGAATTTTAAGTAAATTTTAATTATAATAAAAATTTTATATAAAAATTTATAAATAATATTAACTTTATATTATAATTATAAATATTTATAATCATACGCTCTTCTATAATTTTTGAAAAAATATAATTAGTTAAAAAATTAATATAAAATAATAATTAATATAAAAATTAATTAAAATAACTTACTGTCTTTTTTACTTTCTATAATTTTAATTTAAAAAAAAATAATTTTAATTAAATTTAAATTATAAAAAAAATATTAAATATAAAAATTATTTACTATCTAAATTATTAAAAATTTTAGTTAAATAAATTATTATTAAACATAACTTATAAATTTAATTAAAAAAATAATTTAATTATATTTAAATATAATAAAAAATAAATTATATTAAATATAATCAATTAAAAAATATTACTTACAAGCTATATAATATAATATTTTTAAAAAATTTAATAAAATAATAAAATAATAAAAAATTTATAAATAATTAAATAAATAATTAAATAACTTACAAGCTATATTATTGTTATTTATTTTAATAATTAATTTAATAATTATTTAAATTATAATATATAATAAACTTATATTAAGTATTATTAGTAAAAATAACTTACGAACTATATAATTTTATATATAAAATTTTAATAAGTTTAAATTATAATAAAAAATTTATATATTATAAATATAATCTAAGTTATTTTATAAATATTAAATTATATTTATTATTTTGCATAATAAAATATCAAAATATTTTAGATTATATATATATATATAATATTAATAAAATGACTTACGTTCTAAATTTTTAATTATAAATATAAAATAAATAGTTATATTTAAATTAGTATAAATATAAATTAATATAAATATTAAATAAAATAATTTACCTTCTAAATTATTAAATAAATATATAAAAAATAAATTATAATAAAAGTATAATTATTGTTATATATAAATTATTAATATTATATTTAGATTTTTAAATAAATTAATTAAATTTAAATAATTAAAATAACTTACCATCTAAATAATTAAAGATTTTAAGCAATACTTTTAGTTAAAATTTAAATTATAATAAAATATATAGATATATAATAAAAATAACTTACATTCTAAATTTATTAAATATTTTTATTATTGAAAATTTAATTAAGTTTAAATAATTAAATAAAAAAAATTAATAATAAAAAGTTTACCATCTAAATTATTAATTTAATTTAAATAAAAATTTAGTTAAAAATTAAATTATTTAAATATTTAAATAATTAATAAAAATAACTTACATGCTATATAATATTATAATATTTTTAAATATATAAATTTATTTAATTTAAAATAAATAATTAATAAAATAACTTACAAAATAAACTTACATGCTATATATTACAAATCATTAAATAAAAATTTAATTAAATTTAAATTGGATTAAAAAGTATAAATAATTATAAATAATTAATAAAATCATTTACAAGCTATAATATTTTTTAAATAAATTAATTTAGTTTAATAAAATTATAATTAAATATAAAACTCAATAAAATAAATGACTTACATCCTATAATTTAATAATTAAGTATAGAAAAAATTATTGAATATAAATCATAATAAAAGTTAAGTAGAATTTAATATTAATTAATTTTTTGTTAAAACAAAAATTTGGTCAAGTTTAATTATCACTTACCTTCTAAAATTCCAACATCTTATTATTTTTTAAATAAAATAAAAATTAATATATATTTATTTAAATTTAAATTATAGTAAAAGTATAGTTAATCAATAAATCTTTCAGATAGTTACTGTTACTGTAAATTCAAAACATACCAATTTCTTCAAGAGTAAATAGTTTTTTTTTTTCTTCCGGTAAATATATTTTATCTTTACTAATTTCAGCTAATTTCTTTCTTTCTGGTAAATATGTTTTATCTTTGCCAATTTCATCAGGAACAGGTACTGTTGTTTTTATTTCTGGTAAATATGTTTTACTTTTACCATCTAATTCATCTAATATAGAAGTTCAATAGTCAAATATATAAATAAATTTGATTTGCTTTTGATATATAAATGTCAATACTTACCATTTTCTTCTATATCATCTTTTCTTTTATTCCGGGCAAATAAATTTCGAAACGTTTTTGTTATTTTGCCTTTGTTGTTATTTTCGGACATTGCTAAAAAAAAAAAAAATATAGAAATTAAATGTGTATAATTAAATAATATATAAGTCTTTGTTTTGATTACACAATTCTGTGATCAAAACCATATTAGTTTCGCAAAAGTATGCATCTTGATGTGAAACCCGAATTCGGCGTTTCTTGTTAGACGTTGCTGTGAAATACAATGTAAAATTTCGTATGCAATAAAAATATACCCAATGTTTCACAATAAATATCCGAACTCGTGTTTCACAAATATGTTCTAATCAATAATTTGCTCGGGTTGAATTATCCAAGAAAGGAAAGATCCATTTGACTATTTATAATTTCTAAATAATTACGCAGTTCTTTTTATGATTTCTTTCTGCACCAGCATTTCATTTAATAATAACAATTATTATATTTCTTTAATAGTAAATAACTTTGTTTCACTAGTAACCCAGAAACAGGTTCATTTTTAGAGCCGCTAGATTAGTGTTCCGAAAGGGTCGAATCAAGTCGGGTTTGAGGATGTATTCGAACTCGACCCGTTTATAAAAACCAACCCGTACAAATACCCGGATAACTGGGTCAAAAAAAATTTATTTAATTTAAATTTTATGATAAAATTCTCATTAAATCCTCCTTACTCTCAAACACATACAGGCGCGAATTGTATTTTTTTTGAGATTGCTTCTTTTTGCTGTTATCAAATCGGTTCCGCCAGAAAAGATCCGTTCTACTGGAACAATTGTAGCTAAATTAAAATCATTTTATTAGATAATGTTTAATAATGTTAAAAATGTATAATTTTTTTTTACCTGCAATTGCAAGATATTCTCGAGTGATACGGAAAGTAGTAACTGATAATACAAAAAAAATATTTTTTTAACTTTCGTCGTGTTTTCTTTTCAAGTAAACATTTTTAAAACTACTGATACTGGTTTTATTAACGAAGAAGATATTATTTATGAAGAGTACCTTGGTTCAGAGGTAACTCAAGATTTTATGTAAATATTATAATGTAAACCAGTCAATAAAAATTCATTATATTATATAATATATATAGCCAAGTAATATATCTTCGCCTGATATGGAAGATACTGAAATACATCTTACAAAAAATATGACTGTTAAAATGATAATATACTCAATGACTCTAGTTGAGTATCTACCAACTAGTGAAGAAGGTGTCGCAATAATTTATCATGTCGAGGAATGGGATAATATAGAAGCGGCATTTGCAGATGTAATTATAAACTTTAAATTTAAATGGTATATTAACATGTGAAAATTTATCAATAATAATTAATATTACAAATCTTTTTAAAGATTCATATCCTATGGGCAGACCTTGTGGCCAATGACACAACTTGTTCTTATCTTGGTAATATTGCTGTTGATAAAAAAAGATAGGACTTGTCAGGGCTTGAAAATATGTGAATTTGCAAATCCTGAACTTCTCGAAATGAACTATGAATCAGTAGATCCTAATTCAGATTTACGCTTAAAAATAAGCGAAGAATTATCATCCAATAATATAAAACTTAATACATTTTCATAAGTTTTTTTTGTACATCTTATTGCCATATATCTTATATATATAATAATGATTATCATTGTAATTTTTTAGTGAATATTAGCTATAATCCGTTGCTTCGCACTGGGATCAATGAATTGGGTTAATTAAATATATTAATACATCTTGAAATAAAATTCCAATTCACTTTTATAAGTGATGTTTATATAATCCAACTTTTGTTTTAATAAGGGTGAAAATAAATAAATAATAATAAAATAAATAAAATAAAATAAATAAATAAAATAAAAATTTAAAGATGATAAAAAAAAAAAGCCTAAGAAGAAGGGTCTGAGGAATACCAAGTATCTTATAGAAAGGTTTTTTTTTTTGTATATTAAAAAAATAAGTAATTATATCTACTTAAATCTCTAAACGGTTTGAATTAATCTGAAAATTTTTCAAATCAGTTAAGTTAGATCAGTTTCAGATTACATAAAAATCAATCCAAAAATTTTCAGTTTTGTTCAGATTATAATAATTCTAATTTGAACTGAAAAAAATTTTAACTAAACTGATAATTTCAAATTAATCTAAAAGTTCAGTTTAATTATATGTGAAACTCTTAAAAGATCGCAAAATTTGCATAATTCTTCAAATTTTGCAAAAAAATTGTAAAAATCTTAGAGAATCGCAATTTTTTAAGATTTTTTTTAAAATTTTGTAAAAATATCATGAAAGTTTTAGAAAATCACAAGTTCTCTTCGAATTTCACAAAAAAAATCTCAAAAATCTTAGAAAATCACAATTTTTGTGATTTTTTAGTATTTCACAAAAAATATCATGAAATTCTTTAAGAGTCATAAAAAATCCTGAATTTCTCTTTGAATTTCGTAAAAAGTTAAAATTTCAGATAATTACAAATTTTTGCAATTACTCATCGGATTTCATAATTTTTTGTAAACTTCAAAGAAAAATTCAGAATTTTTAGTGATTCTTCTAAAGTTTCGTATATAAATTGCAGATTCCTTTAAGATTTGCATATAATCAAACAGTAATTTCAGATTAATCTGAAAATTTCAGTTTAATTCAGATTTTTACCAATCTGCGATTTAATTCAAATTCAGATTGGCATTTTTAAAATTAATAATCTGAACTAAACTGAATCGTTGTAAGCTTTATATTTACTATTAATAAGACAAAAAAAATTTTTTTAAGAAAATTTATTATATTAATCTATTATTATAAAAAAAATTATCTTCAAAAAATTCATTATAATAATCTATTATTACAAAAAAAATTACAGAAATATATTATTATCACCAAAAAATTATTATTATTTATTAGGATTAATATAATATTAGTTACTTAAAATTAATTTTCATCAGTTAAAGAATGATCATATATTAGTTATTAATATTAATTTGCTGATTATGTATTTGATATAATATCTTAAATTTGATTTAATAAAAATTCTTTACAGTTTTTTTGCTTCTAAAAAATAATCTTAATAATGATTTTTGTGATATACTATTAGGTATAGAAATAATTTAAAGAAGTGAAGGGTGAACTTAAACTCTATAAACGAAGAGAAAAATAGGATAGTACTTAAAAAGTTAGCATTATTTTCAAAAAAAAATACTTACCATTTTGTATTTTGCAGAAAGTACAAATCCTAGTTAAAATAATAAATAAAATCAAACTTAATTATGATAAATAGAAAAATAAACTTTATAGTTTACTTAATTTTAGTTATATGATATTAATTAAAGCTTTATTTTTTTATTATATTGTATAAATTAGTAAATTTATTATAATAGATCATATATTAATAAGGTATTAATTATATATAAATATTGTTTTATACGAATTAAATATTTTATAATATATAATATTTTTAGTTTGATAACTATTACTATTATTATAGGAATCTTAACATGTTAATATGAAATTGCTTGATAAGGCAATATATAGTTGACAATATGTAAAAATGAGTTGAGGTAAATATAGAGGTATGCTCTAGTAAAATCTGTTCAATCTATCATCTGATCTGATCAAAAAAATAAATCATTCAAATTATGAATAAACAGATCGCGGATAATCTGAATATATTCATCAGATAATATTAGATTAATTGAACATTATGCAAATGACTAGATTGATCAGATAATTCAATCATTTTATTTTATTTTATTTTATTTTTTTTTAAAAAAAACTTACCTTTTTTTCTTTAGGATTGGACATGTACATAGATTTAGACTTCAGAATTTACTTGAACAGCTTGGATTAAAAGGTATATTAGAATAGAAAGTAAATTTGGTTTTTTTTTTTAAATGTTACTAATCTTCCTTTCTTTTTTTTCTTTAGAGAACATCTTTTTGGATCTGAATTTTAGTTTGGATCATAAAAATAAGTTAAATGTGAGTTTTTTTTTGTTTTTCTTTATTTTTCTTTATCTATAAACTGCCATTAATGTTTTTTATGCTTCTTTTCTTTAAGAAACGCCTTCCTGGATCTGAATTTAGACTATGTTATAAAGATAAATTAGTGTTTTTATTTTTTTTTTATCATTCAGAATGTCATTAATATTCCTTTTGCTTCTTTTCTTTAGAAAACACTTTCTGGATCTGAATTTCGGCTTAGACTATAAAGGTAAGTGGTGTAGGAATATTGATTTTATTTCTTTTTTGTTTTTAGAATGCTATTAATATTTCTTTTGCTTCTTTTCTTTAGAGAATGCCTTCTGAACCTGAATTTTGACTTGAGCTATGAAGTTAAATGATATAGAGGTATTATTTTTATTTCTTCTTTATTTTTAGAATGCTATTAATGTTTCTTTTACTTTTTTTTAAGGAATGCCTTCCTGGATCTGAATTTCAGCTTGAGCTATAAAGATAAGGTAGTATAAGAGATTGTTTTTGTTTCTTTATCTTTAAAATGCTATTAATGTTCCTTTGCTTCTTTTCTTGTAATTTTTTTTGTTTTTCTTTATCTTTAAAATACCATTAATATTTCTTTTGCTTTTTTTCTTTAGGAGACGCCTTTCTGAATTTAGGTTTCAGCTTAGACTATAAAGATAAGGTAGTATAGGAGATTGTTTTTGTTTCTTTATTTTTGAAGCACTATTAACATTCCTTTTGCTGCTTTTCTTGTGGGATATTTTATTTTTCTTTGTCTTTGGAATGCTATTAATGTTTTTTTTGCTTTTTTCTTTAAGAGACATTACCTGAACCTGAATTTTAGCTTTGATTATAAAGGTAAGTTGTAATGAGTTTTTTGTTTTCTTTTTTGTTTTTGAAATATTATTTATCAGTTTTTTTGCTTATTTTCTTTAAAGAATGTCTTTCTGAACCTGAATTTTAACTTGGATTATGAAAGATAAGATATGAGAGTGTATTTTTATTTTTCATTTATTTGTCTTTAAAAATCATTTATATTTCTTTTTTTTTCTTTAAAATACTTTTCTGGATCTGGATTTTAGCTTGAATTTTAGAAAGAAAAATTTTTATTTATTTATTTTCTATTTAGAACTTTTGCTTCTTTTTAAAAAATAGAAATCTTTAAAATTGTAAGTTTAAGTTTACAATAAATTTTATAATATTTTAATAAAATAACAATTTATTTATATATAATAAATTATACAAATAATTGATTTAAGATATAAATAATTATTCATAAATACTTTTAACTTTAATTGCATTTCTTTTTAAAAACATTATATATTGAAAAAGTTCTGAATTCATTCTAGATCTTTTTGCTGAAAGTAAATTTTCTACATCAGAAAATAACCTTTCTGATAGCATTGATATTGCAGAAATAGCTAAATGAATTCTTGCCATTTTAGCAAGAATTTGATACTTATTTTTATTATTTAACTACCAATTAAATAGATATTGATTAAAAGGAATCTTATTTTCTTTTAAATATTCTTCAACTTCATTAGATGCTCTTGGTTAATTTTGTTCAAATATTGAAAAAAGCTTAGATTTATAAATTGGATTTAAGATTATTGATAATTCAGATGGAGTTGAAGATGAAGATCAAGATTCATTAGGAGTTGGTAAATAATTTTCCTTATATTCTTCATATTTTTTTAAGTAAAATTTTTTCTTCTTCTATTTTATTTTTCATAGACTTAATTCTTGGATTAAGTATTATTGATATTCAGTAATCTTCAGATAAAACTTTCTAATAATAAATTTAATTTAATTTAAAAAGCATAATTAAATATTGATAATTAATAAAAATAATTTACTTCCTAATAAAATTTTTTTTAAATATTTAATATAATTTAGAAATCTAATTAAAATATTTTTAATAAATAAATATAATCTACTTTCTAATAAATGTATTTATTTAAATAAAAAAATTCAGATTAATCCAAAAAAGTATAATTATATATTAATAATTTAACTTACTTCCTAATAAATTTTATTTTTTTAAATAAAAAATTTTGTTTAATTTAAATTATAATAAAATGTATAATTAAATACTTATCAATAAAAATACTTACTTTCTAATAAAGTTAATTTTTTTTTAAATAAAAAATTTTAATTTAATTTAATAAATATTGATATCAATAAAAATAGCTTACCCTCTAATAAATTTTTTTTTTTAAATAAATATTTAATTTAATTTAATAAGTAATATAAAATATTCATAATTAATAAAAAAAACTTATGTCCTTATAAAATTTATATTTTTTAAATGAAAAATTTAGTTTAATTTTATAAGTATAATTTAATACTAATAATCAATAAAAGTAACTTACGTTATAATAAATTAATTTTTTAGTTTAGATTACAGTAAAAAGTATAATTAAATAAAAAATGTATCTTACTTTCTAATTATTTTTTTTTTTTAAAAATAAAAAAATTTAGTTGAATTTAAATTACAATAAAAGTATACTTAAATATTATAATCAATAAAGTAATTTACTTTCTGTATTATTATTTATGAATATTTTTTTAAAAAAAAATTTAGCTAAGTTATATTACAGCAAATAATTATTTTTAGAAAATATAGTTACCAAATAAATTATTTTTAAAATAAAAAATTAGTTAAATTTACTTATAATTTAAAAGTAGTAATAAATAAAAAATTTGTTAAATTAAATTATAGCGAAGAGTAGAATTAAATATAAATATCACTTACTTTCTAATAATAATGACTTTCAAATGAAAAACTAGTTGCTTAAGTTAAATAAAAGTAAAATCTACAAACAAATAACTTACCCGCTGTAGTAACATAGCATAGTTTAATATATATTTTTTTAAAAAAGAATTTAGTTTTGTTTTCAAATTATATAAATTATTCAAAAAATCTTTTAACGTTTCATTATCGTTACGAAAAACTGAATAATAGTACTATATTATTACCATCTAAAGTGTCTAATGTGGAAGTTTCCCTGGAATCCAAAACTGGCTCTGAAATTTTGACAAATTGACCTTTAAGATTCTCGTCTTTATTTCAAATAAATTTAATAAATTTAGAAACTCATTTTAGATAAGCTTAAAGGTCAATACTTACCAATTTCTTCTGCTACTACATCAGATTCCTTTTTTTTTTCTTCTGGGTAACAATATTTTTAAGCGATTTTGTTCTTTTACCTTTACCTTTACCCTTATTTTCGGACATTTCTATAAAGTTTAAAAGAAAGAAATTACAACGAATAATAATAATTATATATACTTTGTTACACAATTATGTGCCCGCCATTTATAAATTACATGTAAGGCTGTGCTGTACACGCATAATTCCAGTAATCTCCGGCTGAAATTATCTATTGATAATTATAAAAAATTGTCATTCTGGAAGTTTTCTTTTCAATATGATGATGATATGATTTAAAATTTTTAAAGTTTTTTCAAATTGTGATAATACAAATTGTGATAAATTGTGAAAACTTTAATCCCGGGGGTTTTTTTTTTCTTTTTATTTTTAAAAAAAAAATAAAATTATATAAGCGATCGGAGAACGAAATCAATAAAATTACCCGTTTACTTTACTGTTTATCACTAAATTCGTAGAAAGTAAAGAATATTTAGGATATTCTAATATTTCTCTCTCTTAAAGAGACAATGGCTTTTTTAAACAATATAAAAATTTTAATTTTATCAGTATATGATTTCTTAACACCAGATTTCATTCAATATTAATTTTATATTATATTTTATTCTTTAATTTGTAAATATTTATTTAGTTAACTTTTTTGTTATGGCTTCAACATCTTTATACCATAACAGGAAAGGCAGAAGTGATGAAGATGGGAGACATTGTTATAATTCGCGTACACACATACGCAGAAATAAAAAGAATAGAACAATTTCGGATATAATCCGGTCATTTAAATCGATAATTTTTGAAGACGTTTTTAATCTCACAATTAAAATTTACTGGTAATGAGGAAATTTCAGTTTAAGAAGCATTTCAATTTTATGCTTGCAAATTTTTTCAGTAAAACAAAAATACTGAATTATAGCTACTTGTTATGACAACCAAAATTTGGCCTGATTAACTTCAAGAGGTTACATTCTTTTCTTTATTTTTTTTTTCATCTTGTTAAGAACAAAATTATTTTGTATTTCAGCTAAGTACAAATTAAGAATTTATGTTTCATAATGCTTGGGCCGGGCATATTTGATTTACGCTTATAAAAAAAGTCAAACTTTATATGTATCAAAGTGCTATAAAAAAATTTTTACAAGTTTCGTACAGGTGCATATTGAGAACAATTAATTGACCGCTTTAATAATCTTAATTTTATTTCTTTGTAATACAAATAAAAAACTTCAACGATAAATTCAAGAATAATTTATGGAAATACATTTTATATTGGACGATTTTGTCTACTGGCGTCACCTTTATTTTATCATCTTTGGTTATATGTTCAAATTTGCTTTAAATTACCACCAACCGGTTCAACCGTTTTAATTCGATTCGATAAATCGGTTTGATTCGTCTTACATAAACCCGGATGCAACCGGGTCGGATTTTTGGTTTGATCTAAAATCGTTTTCGAAAACCAACCCGGTTCCAACCTCTAAATTACTGCGATTTAAGTATTGATTGTTTTTTATATGGTTAATTTTTATGGTTTTTAATAAAATCGTAATTAATCGAAAATAAAAAAAATCTAATCTATTTTATTGACTTAATAACCAACTCCCATTCATAATTTCTTTTTTATTTTGTAATTTAATTAATTTATAGCAGAATGATTTAAAAAAAAAACTAAACTGCGATGAAGGATGAGCAAAAAAAAACCTTACCTAATGAACAACTCGAAAAAGAAGCCTTGAGAAAAAATGATAAATCAAAAGCGTGGAAAATAAAATATTTGATCACTGTAAAAAAAAAAAATAATACCCAAAGCCAAGCTCCTACTTAATAATAACGAATTATTTTAAATAATCATTCTATTACTGCAGCCCCAAAGCGAAAGAAACAAAAAAAAATTGAAAATAAATTACAAAAAAAGAAATTGAAAATGGAACTTAGGAAACTACCGCGTATTTCCGAAGAAAAAATTTATATTAGAATTCTAAACTTGTGAGGCAAATAATCAGATTAATCATTCTAAAATCGATTTACCTTTTTGAATCATTCCAATCCTTAGCAGTATGTAAGGAATATTCTCAAAAAATATTGTTTATCGATATTGAAATAATGACAACGTAGCAAATCTTATGGAAAGATAAAATTGTTTCTCTGATCATCAAGATGCTAATGTAATGAGAGTAACTAGTCACAAAATATTCAATGCATAAAAAAGTAAATGACCAACATCTTGCTAACACTTTAAACTGTGCTTTAGAGCATCAACACTTACTAATTCAAATGACACAACTCCAGTTTCTTCTGATAATACAATTGTCTACAATTGTCATTTTAATAATATGACTTTTAATTATAAAATGTAACAATTTTCAATTGTTTATTTGTAATATTAATTAAAATATAATTAAAAATCACGGGCGACCATTAGTAAAATAATTTTTTTTCTTTTTTTTTTAAAAAAAAATCCTTATTCTGCGGCAATATTGGAAACGATGTTCGATTGAACTTTTTTTCTAATTTTTTAGGTTCTTTTACTATTTTAAGATCGCGACGACTATTAGATGTAAGAAGCTTGGTGTTTTTAATTTTTCAATTTCAATTTAATTTATTTCTTTAGATAATTTATGGCTTGATTTTGCATGCATAGTCACATAATAAATTCATTGTAAAAAATTTAAATTCCTACATAACAAAAAAAAAAAAAAAATACAAGGTCTTTAATTGACTGACATTTGGCACATTGTAACGAGGGATTTAAGTATAAATTAATTTGAAGTCTATAATCGAGACTTTTAAACTATAATTTATTACCAAATAAATAAAAAAATTTTATTAAATTAATTTTATTTGAAAGACTATATAATATAATAATATAGTATATGATATTTTTTTTATCCTAATTCAACATCGCAAGTATTTAAGATGTAATAACGAAAATACTATAAAATTAAATATACATAAAAATAGGTTAGTCTTCTAATTTAATTTAATTAATAGTAGTTTAGTATAAACAAAAGCTTTCTTAAAAAAAAAAAAAAAAAAAAGAAACGGCAATTTTTGTGCAATTCTTATAATTTTTATGAATATTATAGTTTTTTTTATTAGTAGATAATAGTCTTACTATCCAACACCGTCTACATATTGACTGAATAATAGTTTCCCGATTTTGCAATCAGTTTTATTCATAAAAAGGTTTTTAGTTCGAAATTACTAGCTGGGATGCCATAAATGAATGGCGACGCATCTTTCCTATAAGCATGGTAGATACAAATAACACTGCACATTTTATTCATGATTGTAAAGAAGATGAGTGTCGAGGGTAGATGTTGGAACCGGCCAAAAATTCTTTAGCCGTTAATAACCGGAGTTAAACAATATTATGCAATCATAAAAATCTTAATTCTGGCCGGAAATTGGATTTCGGCCGGAGTTAAACTCATCTATTTTAACCGGTTAAAAAAAAATCTATATTTTTTGTTAAAGTTATTTAACATTAACGTTAAACAGTCTAGTTCATTTTGTTAGAATTTATTAATATTGTATTAGCGTTCATTAAAGCATTTTATTAACATTTTATTAGTGCTTTATTAGAATTTTATATGTATTAATTTATTTTTTTCTTATTTTACTTCGCCATAAAATGGGTTAAAATAGTTTATAATTACAATATTTCGTAACGAAATCGTGAATTTTATGAAGATCGTCTTAAACTTGCAGAACTGCGTGTAGACGAATGAATTACCTATGTCGTACCTAATAATTTTACGATTTAGCCACATTTTAATGCATTTCAGTAAAGTTATTTTGAAGAGGTTATATAATATGTCAGCTAGATATTTTAATGAGGTATTTTACGTTTATTTGATTAAATTCTGGTAAATTTTAACATTTTATGGATGAAGAAATTTTGTTTATTGTGATAAACGTCATTTTTTTTTATCGGGCTACCAATGTCACAGGGGTTACGGCTCCTCCGTGAGTGACCTTGATGATATCTCTGTTTTTGCGTATAAAATTTTGTTAGGATCTAAGTATTTAATAAAATTAATCTATTCCAATAAAGACATATAAGTCATCCTACAGCGGGTTTATCATTAAATAAATTTTGTATTTATTATTAATATTTCAAAATGTAGCCATTTTGTAAGATTTTCTTTTGCTTCAGGCCGAAGACATTTTTTCGGGATTATTTATGGGTTTGAAGTAAATGGTATACATTATACTTTTTTAATTTTTTTTTTTTTTATTGACTTTTTTGATTTTACCTTTCAGGATTTACTCTTCAGGCTATAGCCATCGAATTGATTTTTATTTGCTTTTTATGTTTCGGGAGCGATCACTTAAGAAGGAAAAGTATTATCCGTAATAAGTATTTATTTATCAAATATCGAGTATCACTAAATCATAGAATAAAGCTATTTAAAATTGCTTGTTTAATTAGGTTTAGAAAACAGATAAACTTTGTCATCCATAATCGTCGTTTAACGAAAAAAAAAATAGATTAGAAATTAAGATTAGATAAATAAATTTGTAATTAAAAATTTTTTTTGTGGCGGCGTTGCGCTGAAAAAGATTGGAAAGATGATAATGTAAAAATTCCAGCTATTAATACAAAATCAGAAAAAATAATATGTACCAAAATTGTTTGTTTACAAGTACACAAATTAACGTTAAATTATAATTTATAAAATAGAAATGTTTTAAGATATAATAAAATTTATTTTTTTAAATAAAAAATTTAGTTAATTTTAAATTATAATTATAAGTATAATTAAATACTATTAATTAATAAAAATATCTTATCATTTATTATATTATTAATTATTTTTTTAAATAAAATTTTAGTTAACAAGTATAATTAAATACTAATAACCAATAAAATAACTTACTATCTATTATATTATTATTATTTTTTTTAAATAAAAAATTTAGTTGATTTTAAATTATAATAATAAATATAATTAAATACTAATAATCAATAAAATAACTTACAATCTTAATCATTATTTAATAATTATTTTATTAAAAAATATATAGTTGACTTCAAATTAAAGTAATAAGTATAATTAAATACTGTTAATCAATAATAATTTACAATCAAAAGTATAAACTAATAATTATTTTTTTTTTAAATAAAAAATTTAGTTGAATTTAAATTACAGTAAAAAGTATAATTAAATACTAATAATCTATTAAATAATTTACCATTTATTGTAATATTATTTAATATTTTTTTTAAAGAAAAAATTTAGTTGTTCATCAAAAATATAATTATTTATAAAAATATATTATTATTGAAAATATATTACATTCTAGCAATAAATAAAAATTGGTTAAATTAAATTATAGTGAAGAGTATAATTAAATATAAATATTATTAGATATAACTTACTTTCTAATATTAAATGATTTTCAAATAAAAAATTAGTTGCTTAAGTTAAATATCAACAATCAAATAACTTACTTTCTATAGTAACTAAATATAATATATTTTTTTTAAAAAAAAGATTGTTTTGTTTATAAATTTTTTAAAAAATCTTTTGACACATCATTATCATTCAAAAAATGAATAATAATACTAAAATATTATCATCTAAATTATAGAATAAGGAAGTTTATCTGGAATCCAAAACTGGTTCTAAAATTTTGACAATTTGACCTTTAAATATTCTTGTCTTTATTTCAAATAAATTTATACTTATTTTAGATATGCTAATATTTAAAACTTACCAATTTTTTCTATATAAACTCTTTTTTATTTTCTTCAGAGCAAATATATTTTCAAGCGGTTTTATTATTTTACCTTTACCTTTATTTTCATATATTGCAATAAAGTAAAGCTCTGAATAGTTCAGTTTGGTCTGGATTAGATGCCAATCTATATCTGAACCAAAAATTTTAGTTCAGTTCAGTTCAGATTATTAATCTTAAAAATGCTAATCTGAATTCGAACTAAATTACAAATCAGTAAAAATCTGAACTGAACCAGAATTTTCAGATTAATCTAAAATTATGGTTCAATTATATAAGGAATCCGCAATTTATATATAAAACTCTAGGAGAATCGCAAAAAATCACGAATTTCTCTTCGAGATTCATGAAATTTGAAGAAAAATCACAATTTTTTGTGACTCTTTAAGAATTTCACGATATTTTTTGCGAAATACTAAGAGAAATCACAATTTTTTGTAACTCTTTGAGTTTCACAATAATTTTGCGAAATTTAAGAGAAATCGCAAAAAATTGCGATTCTCCAAGATTTTTGCAATTTTTTTGCGAAATTCAAAGAAAAACTGCAAAAAATTGCTATTTTCTAAGAATTTCGCTAAATTTTTGCGATCCTTTTAGAGAATTCGCAAATTTTGTATCTTCTAAGAGTTTCACATATAATCGAACTGAACTTTAGATTAATTTGAAATTATCAGATTTTTTTCAGTTCAGATTAGAATTATAATCTGAAAAATTTGAAACAAACCAAAAATTTTCAGATCAATTTTTATGCAATCTGAAACCAATCTGAACTGAACCAATCTGAAAAATCTTCAGAATAATCTGAACTAAAGATGACGTTGCAATACTAGCTAAATTGGTACAAAATATTGTTAACATTATAATAAATTTTGGAAAAACTCTGTTGGCATGGGTTACTTTAGGATTTCGTAAATGAATACTACTAAAACATTGTATATTTGTCAGGAAGAGGTTTCTTTGTGAATGGAGGGTTGGTACCCTTATTAGTAAGGTTGCTTGGCAAAACCTGAGGTTTTCATTTTAATTTTTATTTTAAGGAATAGTTCGATGAATTTTTCTTAAATTCATTCATAATTTAAAATTATGTCCTCGAACAATCGAAATCCGTAAAACCCGTCGAAAATATTTTCGAAAGATTCGATTTTTGCCAAAATAGGATTAGGGTTTGGCTTAATAATTTGGAAATAAGATTATTTTTTCCTCTTCATTTGAATTAATTTGTGTTCGTTGCTGCTAAAATTCCGCTTGTTTAATAATCTTACCATTTCAAAGAACGCAAAAGTATAAAAATTCGTAAAGGTTTTGTGATTTCAAAGCAAAAAAATCTGAAAATTATTTCCAGCTTTCACCAATTTCAATGTAAAGTTGGAAAAATTGACTTCACATTTAGCACTTCGGAAAAGATAAAGAAATTCGAATGTGTCGTTTATAGATTTAATGCATGATCTCTGTAGAGCAATATCAAACACTAATAATGAGTAGAAACGTCAGCCTATATTTAAAAAAAAAATAAGTTTGTATCGGACTGATGATACATAAATGAGAAAGATCTTGTAATTCCTTGTGATAGCAAGTTCAATTTCCAATAATTTTCATCAACGCATAAGAAATTATAAACGGGCAAATGAAATTTACCATTAACTGAAAGTAATGTTATTACATGAGGTTGAACCGAATCGACATAAAAGGTTAAATTTACTTTATTGCTAAGTTAAATCTAAATGGCGAAAGGATAATAATTGACAGGTACTGGAATTGTTTGCGTTCTTGGATCCTAACTACGAGTTGAAATAAAATGGCAAGCAAGCAATCCAGAATCTCTTCAAAGTCAACTAATCTGGATTCTTCAAGGAGTCTAAATGTTAAAGAATGTATATAGTTAGTCATATGAATTGTATGGATTAATGTATCATTGGAGTACGCTGTCAACTATATACATTATCATATTATTAAAGATATATTCGTAATTATCTGTAGTTAATAAATTTGATAAGAATCTACTTACTTAATCGATGTATTTACATACTTTAATAACTTTGAATCCTTCCTAATAATTTCCTCCCAAATTCTGCAAAAATATAGTAAGCTTTTTTTTAAAAAATAAATGTTATATCCATTTCCAACATTAAAAAAGAGATACTTAGTGCACAGAATCTAAAGAAAAATATTTTTTGGATTTTCAAAACGAGATATTATATGTTAATCATATGATTATGACATTACATAATGTGCAAGTTATTAAATTTTAAACATTCAGGAATTTTAAGGGAAATTTCAGTTCACGACAATTAATTTTGAACAATTATATTAATAAATTTTTATATGAGTCCATACATAGTTTGATTGAATATTTGACATCTTTTAAGCTGGCTGAAATGACGTTATTGTTTCATAGAACGTCTTAAACTTCAGTTAAATAATTTGACACGTAACAAGGTTATTCTTGAATCATTTACTTGGAACGTTGAGAACCTGCTACTTACGTCACATGATTTTCTGTCAAATAAGGTGAGATTTGAATAGATATCAAAAAATAAGAAGGTTATATAGGTTAGAAAAAGCGGATAGAATTTGTGGCACTAATTAATAAAACACTTTTATAAGCTAAAGCTTGCTTCCGATTCAATGTTTTTTCAAAATATTGAGGATTATTAAGAATTCACTATATCAAGTGAAATATTTATGAAATGATTTGGAAAATATTTTAAATTATATTTGCTTCAATTGTATGCTGACAGAAATTCGACCCATTTGCATAATTGGAATTTTATATGTAAGCATTCGCATATTTCAAGTGCTATTATTACAATTCTCTTTGCACATAGTTCATTAAAAAAATTAAATTTCAAGAAACATTATTACAGTCAATTATAAAGTTTTTTTTCTTTTCAATAAAACTTCATAAGACAACATACGTAAATTGTGAAAGATAAAAAAATACTGATTTTAATCATTTTAAATAAAGCTCAAAATTTAAATACTTTATACATTGATATCGTTTAGAAGTTGTTCAATTACAAACTGATTTTATGTAAAGTAAAATTACATGTACTCTATAATCGGTGTTGAACAATACCTATATGATTAAATTTCCTATTTATAATAATTATTTTTCATATGAAATAATAAATAAAGTTTCAAAATTTTTCAAAATCTTAACATGCGCATGATTTCACCATTTAAATTCTCAATTTTTTGGTTTGCAGCTTTGTTAATATTTTCTTTTTCATTCCGTCCAAGAGTAATCATAATGTTGTCTGTATTAGGATAACAAGTTTGGTTGAGTTTTGATAATTTTGCATTAAAGTCTTTAAGATCGTTAAAGGTAATTTTAAGACTATGGCACATCTTTGGGCAAAGTTTTAGTAACTGAAATTTTGTATTTGGAATGAATCTGCGCCAATCATGGGTGATTTCACAGCATAATACTTGTGTGATAGTGATACAAAATCCTTGCATTTCTTTCATGATAAACCATTGACCAGAATGAGTTCCGGGGGAAAAACTTTCTCTATTGCTGCCATCTATATCAACGAATTCATATGACCAACTCTCCCCCTTAATATTAGGACCTTTATAAGATAATTTCCATTCATTTGATGAGAATTTGGTATTATGAACCTTTTTTATACCACCTGTTATACCACAGCTCGATGTTCCAACTTGTCCATTTATGATTTTTTCACTACCTGTTGAAAATTCAACTTTTCGATTTGATTGAGTTGGTTGTGAAATGCCTTTCAACCAAAATAAATTACTCATAATATCAGGCGTTGGAGAAACATGAACTTCGGTAGAATGAAGAAAATAACCAATACCTAATCTTTTAAGTGCTGGCCAATTATTACTAAGCATTTTTCCTATTCCACAAGCAATTACATTAATATCATACTCTAGAATTCCAACTTCCTTTTCAAATGGCGATGTTTTTGCCCAAAAGCTAGCAGAAATGTTAAAATCTTGAAAGATATCAAGATCTACAGCTTTAGCACATGCTCTAGAAAAAACATAAATCTTATTTTCTTTTCTATTACCATTATCACCATCACCATCAATATTGTTATCGCCGTTTCTATTATTACTTTTATCATCACTATTATAATTATTGTCATCATCTCCACCATCTCCACTGTTATTGTTATCACTATTACTACCTTCATTGACATTATTATCACTATGATCATTATTACTACTATTACCATTACCATTACTATTACCATGGTCGTTATTAGTACCTACTTGCCTCTTCTTTAAGTTTTCACTATCATTTAAAAAGAGATAATATGTTGCTCGATTATCAAATAATATCTCATTCTTATTTAATATTTCATTATTATTTTCATTCACAGGTTTCACTAATCGGTATATAACTTCAAATTGATCTTCAAATATGGTTTCAAGACATTCTAGAATCGGAATGTCAAAAGGTTTAGCAACCCAGCAAGCAATACATGGTCTAGTAGAATTTTTGCGAAAATCAATTCCTATGGCATATACAGGCTGTAATTTTAATATACAGTCAATATCATCTTTTCGGCTAATAAGTAATTTCTGTAATTTCTCAACTTCAATATATGAATTTGCAGTTATTCCAGGGGAAATAGTTGCCTTTACTGAAATAAATTCTGAAATGATTTCATCATTTGTATTATTCCGAATATTTGATTTATCACCATTACTAACACTAACAGTAGGCTTATTAAACTGAATACAATTAAGAGGATTACTAATATCAGCTACAATCGTGTTTTTAGCTATTTCATCATTCGTTCTCTCTACGTCTTTTATATAATAGTATATTTGAAATGAATATTTTAGTAATTAACATTATAACATATTAATAACCTAATATATAAAATTACCTATTAATTCATCATTTCCAATAAAAAATTTGTTATTTGGTCCAGCTAATTTTTTGTACCATTCTAATGCTTTAGTTTCATCTTTTTCAACTCCCCATCCGTTTCGATAACAATTACTCAAATTATATTGCGCAATTTCATTACCATTATATGCAGATTTTTGGTACCAATAAAAAGATTCTTTTAAATCTTTCTGTATTCCTATACCATGTTTATAAAAAAATCCTAAATAATTTTGCGCATCACTATTATTTTGATTAGCTGATTTTTTATACCATTCAAAAGCTTTTACTTCATTTTTCTCAACCTCCCATCCATTTTGATAATATAAACCTAAACTATATTGCGCAAACTTATTATTATTTTCCGCTGCTTTTTGATACCAATAAAAAGCCATCTTTAAATTCTTTGATATTCCTATACCATTTTCATAAAAATATCCTAATTTATTTTGTTCATAACTATTATCTTTTTTAGCTAAATTTTCACATAATTTAAAGCCTTCTGACATATCTTTTTGATAGTATAATTCTAAATTATATTGTGCAAGTTTATTTTCATTTGCTGATGCTTTTTGATACCAGTAATAAGCTTCTTTTATATTTTTTTGTATACCTATACCATTTTCATAAAAATATCCTAAATAATTTTGAGCATCACTTTGTTCTTGTTCAGCCGATTTTTTAAACCATTCAAATGCTTTAACATCATCTTTTTCAATACTCCATCCATATAAATAATACAAACCCAAATTATATTGTGCACATTTATCATTATTTTCTGCTGCTTTGTTATACCAATAAAAAGCCTTTTTTAAATCCATTTGTACTTTTATACCTTGTTCATAAATGTATGCTAATTTACTTTGTGCATTACTATCATTTTGAATAGCTAATTTTTCAAATTTTTTAATTTCAGTTTCTTGAATAATTGATTTACTTTGATTATTCTCATCTATTTTAAATATAATTTCAGATTTATTAAAAAATAAACTAAATATTTAAATAAAAATTAATTAACTTATATTAAATAAGAATAAATATATAATATTAAACTTGAAAATTTAAATACTTACATTTTATATTAATAATTTATTAAATTGTTAAATATAAAAACAATAAATTAAATAATTAAAAAATAATAATTAAAAAAAATTAGCTAAATGTAAATTATAAAATAATTACTAATAATAATAAATATAACTTACAATCTAAAATATTAAACATTTTTAAATAACATATTTAGTTAAATAACAATAAAAATTAATAAAAACAATTTACTAACTATAAATTTATTTTTTAAAATAAAATATAAATTATAAAAAATATATAATAAATAATAAAAATAACTTACCATCTATTAATATTATTAATTATATTTTTAAATAAAAAATTTAATTGATTTATAAATTATTATATATATAATTATATATAGATAATTAATAAAATAACTTACTTGCTAATAAAATTTATTTTTTTAAATAAAAATTTAGTTGATTTTAAATTAAAATGATAAGTATAATTAAATACTAATAGGTAATAGTAATAACTTACAACCTAAATTATTAATAATTATTTTTTTAAATAAAAAATTTAGTTAATTTTAAATTATAGCAACAAGTATAATTAAATACTGATAATCAATAAAAATAACTTACCCCCTAATAAAATTTATTATATTAAACAAAATTTAGTTGATTTTAAATTATAATAAAATGTATAATTAAATACTGATAATTAGTAAAAATAATTTACATACTAATAAAATTTATTTTTAAATAAAAAATTTAGTTAACTTTAAATTATAATATAAGTATAATTAAATACTAATAATCAATAAAATAACTTACTTTCTAAATCATTAATTAATAATTATTTTTTTTTAAAAAGTAATTAATTGATTCCAATTAAATTAAAGTAATAAATATAATTAAATATTAATAATCAATAAAAATAACTTACCATCTATTATATTATTAATTTATTTTTTTAATAAAAAATTTAATTTTAAATTACAATAACAAATATAATTAAATACTGATAATCAATAAAAATAACTTACCAACTTATAAAATTTATTTTTTAAATAAAAAATTTAATTGACTTTAAATTAAAGTAACAAAAATAATTAAATATTAATAATCAATAAAAATAACTTACATTCTAAATCATTAATTATATTTTTAAAAATTTATTAGTTAATTTCAAATTAAATTAAAGTAATAAATATAATTAAATACTAATAATCATTATAAATAACTTACCAGCTAATTAAATTTTTTTAAATAAAAAATTTAGTTATGTAATAAGCATAAATAAATATTAATAATCAATAAAATAACTTACCTTCTATTATATTATTAATTTTTATTATTTAATAAAAATTTTAGTTAATTTTAAAATACAGTAATAAGTAAAATTAAATACTGATAATTAATAAAAATAACTTACTAACTAATAAATTTATTTTTAAATAAAAAATTTAACTTTAAATTATAGTAACAAATATAATTAAATATTGATAATCAATAAAATAACTTACATTCTAAATCATTAATTAATAATTATTTTTTTTAAAATTTATTAATTGACTTTAAATTAAAGTTACAAGCATAATTAATACTGATAATCTATAAATAACTTACTTTCTAATAAAATTTAATTTTTTAAATAAAAAATTTAGTTGACTTCAAATTATAATAATAAGTATAATTAAATACTAATAAACAATAAAATAACTTACTTACTAAATAAATTTATTTTTATAAATAAAAAAATTTAATTGATTTTAAATTATAGTAATAAATATAATTAATATTAATTATTAATAAAAAACTTACTTCCTAATAAAATTTATTTTATAAAATAAAAATATTAGTTAACTTCAAATTACAGTAAACTGTATATTTAAATATTAATAATCAAAAAATCTCACTTACTCTCTAATAAAATTTATTTTTTAATAAAAAAAAATTTAGTTGTTTAAAATTATAATAATTAAATACTAATAAACAATAAAATAACTTACCATCTATTATATAATAATTATTTTTTTAAAATAAAAATTTTAGTTGATTTTAAATTACAGTAACAAATATAATTAAATACTGATAATCAATAAAAATAACTTACTCTCTAAATAAAATTTATTTTTTAAATAAAAAATTTAATTGACTTCAAATTAAAGTAACAAAAATAATTAAACACTGATAATCAATAAAATAACTTACTATCTAAATCATTAATTATTTTTTTTTAAAAATTTATTAGTTAATTTCAAATTAAATTAAAGTAATAAATATAATTAAA